GCAGTTATTTTTTTCTGTTCATAATTACAGAGGGAGCTTGCTATTTTTAAGGCTGTTTTTAAAACACTTGAAAGTATTTGGTGGAATAATTTCTGTGGTTTTTTTTTTTCTTTTCTTTAACTGACTACTTTAAAAAAGCTCCAGAAAACAAATACACAGGAAAAAAATGAAAATATGTTAAAATAAGGAATAAAGCAGTTACTGAAGTGTAATAATCCCGCTTTATAGCACACTTTCCATTTAAATTGTTTTTATTAGAGATAAACCTGTTAAGCGTTGAGGAATTAAGTGCTGAATAGAGAAGGTTGTTTCGCTGCTGTATAAATGAAGGATGCCAGAATGCAGAAAAGAGTACGGCTGGTTTTACAAGTGAATTCCTTGCCAGTTTGCAGGGCTCTGGTTACTTTGGCATCTGTTAGAAAAATGACAATTTGCTTGTTGTCAAGAGGGATACTATTTTTTTCAGAGGGGCAGTAGAGATTTTTAGCACTGGGGTTTGTAGCTACTGTGGGTTTTCTCATTGTCCTTACGCTTGGTTTACTAGAAGGAGTTCAAGGAGAAAATGAGGCAGAGAGATTGTCGGGAATTTCTTGGCACTGCTAGTGATACGCAGACTTCTGGCATGCAGTGCTTTGGGACAGTATTGAGAGGGATCAGCCTGCAACTCCAAGTATCAAAAGTCAGTAATGGTGTGAAACTCTCCTCATTTGGAAGGGCTAGGGGGAGAGGAAAATTCAATATACTGCTAAGTCTCAGCATCTCCTTTCAGACAGCTGGTCCTGGAAAATTTCATTCAAAGATTGCAAATTGGAAGTCCCCACAATCACTCTGTCGATTCTTGAGCAAAGGTGGCTTTGGAAATTGGTGACAGCAGAGGAAGGTCTTGTTTTATTCACTCAGCAGAAGAGAAATATAAGGGGAAGGGAGAAAGAACAGATCTGTGCGGAAAATGTCACTTGGGCTGTAACCTGAGCCTTCACAAACTGTGCCTTTTGGAGGGTTTGGTGACCCTCCGAAAATCCTTGCTCTCTGGCTGCTATTATTGTAGCCAATTTCCAACTAAAATAAGTCTTTTGTCATCACCAACCATGCTGCCTCTCGCTGAGAAGAAACAAAACTTGTGCGTGGCAGCGAGGGTGGCCAAGCTGAAGGTCAGAGTGCAGAGCCGGATTGCAGCATCCCCGGGGCCGGGTCTGGATCTCACCCGTGGGACTGGCAATGCACCAGCGAGGGAGACTGCCAGTGACCTCTGGAGACAGACCCTGGGCTGATGAGAAAACATCCCAGTAAAGTGCAAATTGGAGAAAAGAGGGCTTCCTCCTCTGTAGGGTTATGCAGGTGGAATAGCTGGGGGTTTCTTGCTTTCGGGGACACAGCAGAAAGCGCAATCTCGTGTATCCAAAAGGGCAAGGAAAAGTTAACTTGAAAAAAATAATAAATACTTTAAACTTCTGTGTTTGCCCAACTGTTCAAATGTTCCCTCCATGCCAGATCCTTCCCCTTGGAGGGGAAAAAAAAAAAAAAAGAGGAAATAAAGAAAGAAAGCTAAAGTAACCCAAATCATCACTTTGCAGAGTTCTCAGCTGTCCTTGGGCTGGGAAATTGGTACAACTTGATCTCATGTTGTTTGTGCCACTGCTGATGCTGCTCCTTGAGGGGAAAAAACCCCAAAACAAAAAAAACCCCTGTCACATTAGAGCAAAAGTTCCAATGCCTAGAGCACTGGGAAAAAATACTTACGCAAGTCTTTGAGCCTCTGTGGGTCTTTACTCACATGAGTAAGGTTATGCAGCTGTCTTAATGATTAACTTAAGTTGTATGTTGAGTTGTATTTTGACAATACTCCATTTGAGTAGTCCTTAATGCAGAAATATGGTTTTTAGGTCTTGATTTTTCTGAACTTCTAAAAATTACGGTGACTTAGGGTTTCTTTCTCTTAGGTAAACATGAGCATACAGAAAAGGAGCAGTTTTTTCCTGTTAGCTTTTCTGTTCCATCATTTTTCTGATGCTATGTCAGCCTGATGCTTTGGAAATGCAAAGACTGATCAAAAGATCTTGGCCCTTGTCTCAAACAAAAAAAACACTATGAAGAAATTATCCTCATGCCCACATAATTCTGCAGCAACACCTAATACGCAATTTGACTTGCGGAGTTCTCAACTGTGATTTATAAATGTAAGAGCACTGCCTTGTGCATTCTCAAGGCAAGCCACCTTAGTAGTTTTAATCTGATGGGTTCTTAGGAATTCCAGGTTTGGGATGCAGGAAGAAACTTGAAAGTGAATACTTTCTTCTTTTTTTTTTTTTAATGCATAGTGGTTTGGAGTCTACTATAATGCAAAGTAAAGCGTTCTGTTACAAAGGCAGGGAGGATGGGACAGAAGGTTAAAGGGCACCCTGGAAACAAACAGCTGGACCAGTTTATTTAAACAGATACAAGGATGGGGAGCTGACCTCCGTTTGACTTCTAGTGGGAGGAGCGAGAATGTCATTTTATTACTTTGCCCAGAAGGAAAATGTTCTTGCGTCTGAATTCCCCCTGAAGACATCCAAACACTGGGCTGTTTGGCAGAATTGCTACTTATAGAAAATACTTCCATTAATGCATAGGAAGAAGATAACTGTTAAGTACCTCTGTGTAAAATGTTCTTAAAACAGATATCCCAAGCTATAGCATGGCCCAAACAGGTCAGAATATGTTTTACTGTAGGCACATCTTATGGATAATTACTGATAAACTCTAGCTATATAGTTTATGATTTTGAGCCCCCCTCTTATTAAAAGCACTTGTAGTTTGGAGGGGAAGGAATAGAAGGTTGTAAAGTTGGGGGGGTGTGTGCTTAATGTTGCTCAGGGTTTCTTTGGGGTAAAAGCTTTTGGCAAATGAGGGTTTCAGTGACCAGCCAATCTCACAGCTATCAAAAACCTTCCCCTCCTGACACAGTAAGAGGTCTTGGCAATCGGGCAGGAGAAAGATGGAGTAAACACAGCCAGAGCCTGCAAGGCATGCAGAAAGAAATGGCTGAGGCACTAGGGTTTTGTGTTGTTGTTTTACTTAGGAGAGTTACTGTGAAAATTGCTTTCTGCAAATGCAGATTACAGATATTAAACAATTTTCTAATTGGTCATGGAGCTAAGGCAGCTAATGGGGGAAAAAAGGCAGATTTTTTTTAATTGCTTATTTCGCATGGTGTTTGTGCTACACCTGTGCTTATAATGAGAAAGGAGAATTAGTCTAACCTTCTGCTCACATGATTCTAATTTCCATGGTTTGTACAAGATAATGATAAACTGATTTGCAACACTGTTTGCTGGAGTTGAGGCCTTTTTTTTTTTTTTTTATTGGAAATGTGTAGAAAAATTGATCCAATGCTGTTGCTGACAAAACGTGACCTAGTTAAGGTATAAGGTTTCCACATCAGCACCCGGAATTTCTGCCTTTGAGCCCATTTTCTTGAGACAGGCTTGATTAGGATTCAACATCTTGATTAATTTTTTGCTGGAGTTTGGGTAACAGGCATCAGTTGGGAATGGGAGACAGGAGGAGACCAAAATCACTGTGCTGGTCTTTGATGAGGGCAAAACAAACAGCACAGGGTGGTGGTTTGTGATTCTTGTCCCCGCCGGTGTAGGGGAATGGGTGGGCAGAGCTGATTCCCGCGGGAAGGTCCTGTTGGCTTTATCTCTGCAGTAGGAGAACTCCTGCTAAGCCACTCCAAGGAAAGGCAACAAAAACAAGCAGCAAGCAGTCCTTTGTGGACTTTCCTATTGCATTCTGCAAGTGTTGTGTTATTTTACCCAGGCTCACACTTCTTCTACTCATAAATATTGTGGCATATACTTTTTTATTAATCCATTTCTCTTTCGTAAAGAATGTAAAGTCTGATTATGAGGCTTTGCTGTGATTAAATCTCAGCGAAGATTTTTTCCAAATGGGTTTTAACTGAGCTTTCTGATGAGCAAGACCACAAGAGAAGTTCTTCTAACACTCTTCAGGCAGGTTCCCAACCATGGTTTTAAGCCTTCTGATTTCAGCGCCACGAGGACTGTGCACAGATAAGACCAAGGCAGTTGTGATCTGTCTCCTGTTTTGCTCCAAAGTATTTTGAATATTCCTTTCCCAAATAAGCATTGCAAGACTCACTGAGGCAGAGAGCTACAAAAGTACAAGGAGTACAGTTGCAGATGACTATTTTTAAAAAATGACTGTACCTTTTTTTTTTTTCATTTCCAAAGATCTGCTTTTCATTGTTCGGGGGGAATTTTCAGTAGTCCAGTAATTACAGTTTAACAAGATGTTTGCTGTAAATGGTCAGGCCTAGCTGGAGAAAACAGGATTATAAATTCAATTACTGTAAAGCTATGACCTCGCCTTGACCCCTCAGACTTTGCATAAAGAGAGAGGGGGGGAGGAAAAAGCCCACCAAGAAATGGCTAGGAGGAATGCAGGGCTCTGAAGTCCCCAGCAGTATGACTTAGCAGTGATAAAACTCCAGACGTTCCCTCATTTGATGGGCTTTTGCCATCACAGTTCATTATCTTAATAGTGGGCATTAAAAGGGAATTAGGTTTGCGAGAGGTAGGGGCAGGTTTTGATAAAAAAAAAAAAGAATGGAAAAAGAAGTCAGAGGAGATAAGGCAGAAATGGCACTAATGAGGGGGAGGTAGCAGATGCCCTCATGATCATCTCGCCGGCTTCACCCGTTTGGTTTTTTTGTGCCCCGTTCTGAATCGAGAAGAGCGTTGCTGGTATTGTTTCCTGAAAACTCAGCAAATTCCCCCATGAAAAGATGAAATGGAAGTGTCCGACTGTGGTAGAAAGCAGGCAAACATAAATCAGCTCGGAAACCCCAAGCTCGTGCTCTCAAAGGTCATCAGGGTTAGAGGTTTTGCAATATTTGCATCCCTGCGCAGCCCGACAGAGTGGGGTGAGAGGGCTTGGGGATGGGTAGAAGTCATCCTTTCCCTAACCATTTGCTTTCCTCTCTTTTCTTGCAGGTTTATTAATGCTAGAAGAAGAATAGTTCAGCCCATGATAGACCAGTCCAATCGAGCAGGCAAGTCCCCAGTAGTAACTTTATTCAAGTCACGCAGGCAAAAACCATCCTCAAGCCATTCACCGGGAGGTCCATTACCTGGTAAATAAATGAGAAATGAATGCTGGGAGTGATTGACAATTAAAATACAACCAGCTTTCTTTCATTACAACCCTAATCATTTTGACATGCTTAAAACATTGAGGGGGAAAAAAACCCTGAAAACTCAAAAAAAGAAACTAAAATGGTCCACTCCATGACTGGACTTCCCATGCACATTGGGAATTAAAGTTTATTTTTTAGTAGTTGTTTTGAGTTTTCCTTCCCAGCTCTTTCTGCTCCTGTGACCACTCCCTGGTGCATGGCTTGGTGTGGAATTGCTGTAAACTTTATTACCTGTCAAAAGGGCAAAGGGGTCAGAATCGCTTGTGGGACTCAGTAAAGTTCAAAGACATTCAATGAGGTAGAGCTTTATGTGCTTTAATAACCCAAGGCAGCTTACTTCTGAAGCTGGCTTTTAATGTACAGTTAAAACCTCGAGTTCAGGTAGCGGTACTTGTGTAGGATCCTTTTGTCCGTTGTCTCTTCTTAGTAGCTGTCTTTTGGGATTGATGAGTATTTGGTGTTTACTTTGGGGGAATTTGTATTTATTTTTGTAAAAAATCTTAAGTTTTCACATGCTGGTTCTGCCTGGGTTCTTGGCTTGCAGCTCTGTGTGGGTATTTACCATCGAGGAACAGCCCGTTACTCCCAGTTGGTTTTGCTTTCCCAAGTGTCACTGCCAGACTATCCAAATCCGTCGTTGTCCTAGATGCCTTTGGGCCACAATTCCTCTTTGAGTACATTCGATTATTTTGTCATTAGAGGTAAATATCTGGCATGAATGTGTTCAGGTCCTGCTCTTAGAAAGGCACACAGGCGTAATTTAACACACTGCGATTTCAGTGTGACTATTCCAGCCATAAAATCCAGCTCCTATACAGGTCTTTGCATTGACGTCAGCAGCAGCAGCAGCTGGAGCTGGGGCTCCTCGTGTCTTGAGATTTCGGATCGCTAACTTCATTTCCAAACTCACAGTAGGAAATTAAGCCAAAACCAAGCAAGTGTGTTAGTCCAGCCTCTCAATTTGAATAGTAGATGTTTTTCGCTCTTTTTAGAGCTGGCATTGGTAGCTGTTTAAGTGCATGGATGGGGGGGTTGTGTCTTGACACCATGAGAAGAGGTGACCTTTTTGGCTGTTGCTAAAAACAATGTTCTACATTTTTCCAGTAAGTCAAGGAACACCCTATAACCCCGATGGGCAGCCAATGGGAGGCTTCGTGATGGATGGCCAGCAGCACATGGGCATCCGAGCGCCAGGTAAGCCCCTGGGGAGCGTCACCCACCGATGAGTGATCTCGGTCATGCCACCACAGGTAACCACATTTCCACCCTCCACCATCGTCTCAGCTGCCTGCCTTGCCTTGCCTGTCTTCTGCTTGCTTTCAACCACCGAGGGAAACCAGGCATCTTCTTGATCGAGGGGTCCTGGACTTTCTGCCATGCTGTGTTTTGGAAAGGGGCTTTTGGCACTATCTGTTGACTTTGCTCATTCTCTGGCATCTTCTTGGATTTTTATCTCCTTCTAGGACCTATGAGTGGAATGGGCATGAATATGGGCATGGAGGGGCAGTGGCACTACATGTAACCTTCACCTAGGTAACCAATGGCAAAGCCAGGGGGAAGTAAGTACAAACGGGGTCTTTGTTCTCATTTTGTCCGAGGGATATTTGTCTCCTTGCATTTCCCTATGTTCTCCCTGCCCATAGCCTCATGCTTGTTCCTTCCTTTCCATCCATCCATCCTACGCCTGGGCTCCTTTGGGCTTCTGTCCCTCCGGTTCAGCTCAAGCTTTCCAAGCTCCCAAACCCCCTGTGCGCGCGCGCGCCGTACACTGACGCCGCCGTACATCGACGCCGCCATACATTGATGCTATTATCCATCCCCGAGCACATGACAAAACAAGAAGCAGCCGGGGAGGTGGGGGAGCCCGTCGTCTTGGCAACAGACTGATTTGCAAAATGTAAGCGGTCTGCAGCAGCGCAGGGAGAGGAAAGAGCATGTCCCCAAAGTGTCATAAATCTGTCTAACCGCAGTTGATGCATGAGTTACATTTCTCCTGCTAACCTGCAAGACACCAAAAAAGCCAAACAGAGAGTTCTCATAGGTGAAAAAAAAAATAAGCTGTGGCTTCACTTAGTTGCGTTTTGGAAGGCGAGGGACCAAACTTTGATTTTTTTTCTTAATTTTTTTTTTCCCCCCAAGTTTATTTCTCTTTGTCTGTCCATCATAATGGGATTACGTGTGGCAAAGGAAAAAGAGAGAATACAAAATAGAGGTGTGCGCAGCAGGCTATGGAGCTTAGCCCAGGCTAATTGACTATATCCAAATTAAGTATGCCATCACTTGCAGTGTGACAAATGGATTTGACTTATTCAGTATACAAAAATAGAGATCATTAATGCAATCTTCAGTGGCAGGCCTTGCGAAGAAAGCCTAGAAAAACTGCCCCAGTTTTCCCCCCCTTTTGTCTTTCTATAGGGGAAAATACATTATACACCTTTTTTTCTTTCTTTTTTTTTTTTTTTATTTAAAGAGTAAAGCAGTTTGGAACACTGAGGCACCAGTACCATGTTTAAATGGTGCCTGCTTCTGTTTCTTTCACTCTCTTTCTAGAGTTAAAAGCAGTTATTTGGGCATCTTTGTTGTACCCCTAGCCAGTATTAATGCAGGGTTTGAAGTTACCCAGGCCAAGTGTATTTCACAGCCGTCTTCTCTGGGTGCAAGTCAAAACTAAGTTTTAACAATTAGCTGTGAAAACATTCCTCTGAGCTTGGGAATGCAACAGCCTTATTACCTCATCATGGAAATTTCTAGCTTAGTTAATTTAAATATTGTTTCTTAGTTTCTGGGTCAATTAAATTTAAATGATGTATTTTATGCTTCGTGACCAATTAAATTAATAGGTTATTACAAAAAATATTATCATCTTTTTTGATTAAAGAGCTGTGAGTACAGTATATTTTATAAGCAATTTTCATTAGTTCAAAACTGTTCCTTTAGGCTAGATTAAGCAGCTATTCATTGCTAGAGTCTTGAGACCTGATTCCAAGGTGTTCGGTGCATTCACAGCGCGCTCTTACTTAGAACTAAAGCCAATTGAACCTACTTAGCAATAGCGTATGCCTTTCACCCTTGATGATTATGGAGCTTATAGCTCTCCGAAACAATACACCTGTCAGTTCCCATCAGCTACAGCAATCCAAGCAGAAGGCAGAGGCCCACAGAAAGCAGGAGGTTTTATTGTTTTAGGTCCAATTTTTTTCTTATTGTTCTCCCAAACCCGCTGCAAGGTTGACTGAGTTGCGCGTCTGATTTTTTCAGACAGAAGTGAGCAGGGGGAAAGAATTAATTGATAACTGCTATTGATTATAGATGTATTTTTAATGCATTTAAAAATACAGGTTTGATTTAACAATCGTCCTTAGTAATCCTATCAATTTCGGCTTCATATGAGGCCTTTGTTCAGCGATGTATGTGCTTGCTGTATGGCACAAATACTTGGGACAGATTCCAAGTGATGGGGCTCAAGAGCTAAATAAATAACTCTTGATAAACTTCGACACTGATTTAACCCATCTCTCCTCCCAAGCCCCTCATTAACTACTACCGATTCCCTGCCTTGTATTCCCAGCACACTTTTACAAGTGGGGAGACGAAGGCGGGTAGCTGGAACAAGGCCATGGGGGATGGAGCCCACCTAAGAGCTCTCACAAGGGCTTCCCCGGCTTGGTGCCACCACCCCATGTGACGTTAGTCGTCATTAGGCTGGCTCTGCCTTGGGCAGGCTTCCAGATCGGAAATATCTCCATTGCATACGTTCCTAACCATAAAAGCAGAAAGCGGTTTTATCTCCCAGAACTCTGTATTTGGAGGGGGGAGGATGTTCTTGGGGGGTTTTTATGACCTGAGAATCATTCCTGTTGTCGTTGTTGTGAGTCCATACATAGACTCCAATCTCACAAAGGCAGCTGCACTCGCCACATCCATGACTCTGCATCCTGCCTTGGGCTTGAGCCCAGCCTTCCCATGCCCAAGCCGAGGAGTTTCATGGCCCGATGTCCGTAGCTTCTCCCCAGCACTCACCACCACCTCTTTCTCTCTGCAGGGCTGCAAAGTATGCCAGGGGATTATGTGTCTCGGGGTAGTCCAATGGGTATGAATATGGGACAGCCAAGCTATACCCCACCCCAGATGCCCCCTCATCCCGCTCAGCTGCGTCATGGCCCCCCCATGCATACCTACATTCCTGGACACCCTCACCACCCAGCGATGATGATGCATGGAGGACCACCCCACCCTGGAATGCCCATGTCAGCATCAAGCCCCACAATGCTTCATACCGGCGAGCCGGCAGTGAGCGGACAAGTGATGGACATTCATGCTCAGTAGCTTAAGGGAAATACGCGTTGTCTGCAGCAACGATAGATTTCAAACATTGTCTTTCTGCAATGACTATGGAGTTCTTGGCGTCAACTTTGGACCAAGGGACGTTCCGATTCTTCACAGGGACCCTGAAAAGCAGGAAAACACCAACCGAAGTCAACTTCTGGGGACATGCTAAATACCTATATAAGACATTAAGAGAACAAAGAGTGAAATATTGTAAAATGCTATTATACTGTTATCCATATTACGTTGTTTCTTATAGATTTTTTAAAAAAAATGTGAAATTTTTCCACACTATGTGTGTTGTTTCCATAGCTCTTCACTTCCTCCAGAAGCCTCCTTACATTAAAAAAGAAGCCTTACACTTATCCTGCAAATGACAGAAAGGGCTTATTTGCAGGATTTTTAGAGCATTAAAATAACTATGTCAGGCAGAAGAATCTTTCTTCTATCCTAGGATTTCAGCCATGCACACTCTCTCTCTCCCCCCTCTCTCCTCCTCTCTCTGTCTGTCTTTCTTCCCTTTCTCTCCCTTTCTCCCTGTCTCTCTCCCTCTCTCTCTTTCTAGCCTGGGGCGTGAATTTGCATGTCTAATTCATTTACTCACCATATTTGAATTGGCCTGAACAGATGTAAATCGGGAAGGATGGGAAAAACTGCAGTCATCAACAATGATTAATCAGCTGTTGCAGGCAGTGTCTTAAGGAGACTGGTAGGAGGAAGCATGGAAACGGAAAGGCAGTGTATTTGAAGCCTAATTGTCACATCAGAGCATCCTTGTCCCCATGCAGCAACCACCACCTTGTACATCACTTCCTGTTTTATGCAGCTCGAAACATGGACTGAAGATTTATTTTTAATATGTTGACTTTCTTTCTGGGCAAGACATCGGTCATGTGTGCATTTTTTTTTTCCCCATAGTCCCATCATGGAGCATTTATGTATACATTGTAAATAAATTTTGTGCAAAAAGGACTGGAAAAATGATCTGTATTATTGCAATTTTTTGTAAAAGTAGCAGTTTGGTATGAGTTGGCATGCATACAGATTTACTAAGTGGGATAAGCTAATTATACTTTTGTTGTGGTTAAACAAATGCTTGTTGATAGCCTTTTTCTATCAAGAAACCAAGGAGCTAATTATTATTAATAATAATCATTGCACACTGAGTCTTAGAGTTTCTGATTGAAACAGTTTGGATTGTATAATAACTCAAAGCCCAGTTGTAGTAGTTTGAGTGCAGTAATGAAATCTGAATCTAAAATAAAAACAAATTATTTTTTGTCATGGTGACTCCACTGCTTGCAAAATTTGTTTCCTGCCCCCCTTCAGTATTTGTAGCCATCCTATCCCAAACTGGGAGCCAGGCAGCTACAAAATTCAGCCAGCTCCAGAGGCATACCTCACATTTGCTATTTAAATACTAGCTTCATGTTTAAAGAATGTAAAAATAATGCTGCACTGCACAAGGAAACTTGCTTGGAACTTGCACTGTAAATAGTCAGGATGGGAACTGTTGCCTGTTAATAAATGTAATATTATAGGGAATTAGTAGACAGAAATTTGTAGTGTTACCCCCCACCCCAAATTACAGTTCTAATGCAGTCTAAATTGAGCCACTCACATACTTCATTTCTTTCTGGACCTGATCATATAAAGGAAGGAGGAAAATAAAACTTGGAAACCACTGCCTGGGCAATGCATATTTGTAAGTGAAATGACGTGGTGGTGCGAGGGGCTGCTGGACCTCTTGCGAGCGCAGGCTGGTGCAGGCCGTCCTCTTCTCATTAACCAATTTCCTCACACAGCTGTACTTTCTGCACTGCAGCCAGCGAGTTAAATAGCACCAAAGAGCCTGGGTCGGCTGCAAGACCTTTTAGTTTTCTCAGATAAAATCCCAGCTACTAATAAATAAATAATACATAAATAAATAAATATAAATAAGCAAATAAACTCAGAGTTTCTGGCGAGTAGGAAAATTGCACAGATCTATTAAAGCAAAATCATACAACAGTCCCCCATACCCCTCCAAAACCTGCCGCTCCCCTCTTCCTCCCCGGCCCGTGTCAGTGTGCTTCGGGGGCACCCTCTTGCCCACCCTCCTTGCCCTCCCTGTGTTGTGGGTTCAAGCTGGACGGGGGTAAGTCAGGGGTGCAGGCAG